GGGGGGGGGGGGGGGTGTCTGGCCGTATCTACTACATTACTGAGAGCACAGTACATCTAAAGTAGGGTGCAGATTGCGCAAATTTTGTTCTAGTTTTTCATGAACCAGCTGTAATTTGTACAGTGGGTGCCTCTGCGGCACCCTTCGGACAGGCATCCTTCGATCAGCTGATCGAAGGTGAAGGATGGAAATTTGGCGACTGAATGCAGCCAATCAGCTGCTAGCTCTGATCAGGTATTCTGACAACGGCCACCGGATACAGTGGTGCCTGGTGCCTGCCAGAGAGCACCACCTTTACTCCATGTGTAAGGTATGCTTTGGGATACCTTACACATGGAGTAAGGTATGCTTCTTCAGCCAGAGGAAGGAGGTTTTGATTCCACTATATACATATTTTGTTATCAATAGAGGGATCACCAGCAGGAGGAAGGAGATCCTGATTCTCCTTTATAGATCTTTAGTTATCACTAGAGGGATCACCAGCAGGAGGAAGGAGATCCTGATTGTCCTTTATAGATCTTTAGTTATCACTAGAGGGATCACCAGCAGGAGGAAGGAGATCCTGATTCTCCTTTATAGATCTTTAGTTATCACTAGAGGGATCACCAGCAGGAGGAAGGATATCCTGATTCTTCTATATAGATATTTAGGTATCACTAGAGGGATCACCTGCAGGGGGAAGGAGGTCCTGATTCCCGTATATAGATCTTTAGTTATCACTAGAGGGATCACCACCAGTGTAGGAAGGAGGTCCTGATTCTTCTATATAGATCTTTACTTATCACTAGAGGGATCACCAGCAGGAAGAAGGAGGTGCCTGATCCCTCTATATAGATCTTTAGTTATCACTAAAGGGATCACCAGCAGGAGGAAAAAAGAAAACTTAAAATAATGAAGATAGGAACTGAGAAAATCACCCTAATGGGACCTAACAAGAGTTGTACCTATTTGTACATGTATCTATCTATCTATCTATCTATCTATCTATCTATCTATCTATCTATCTATCTATCTATCTATCAATCTATCTATCTATCCAAAGTGTTTGTACTTGGGCAGTAGCTGAATTAGAGTGCCAACAATCAGTCCTATATAGGGGCCCATTGGTGACCATGTCCATCACTGACAATGAGAGTCAACAGCTGAACTGATGTGGGCAAATTAAGCATTAGTGACTGATGAAAAATTGATGCGTGAAAAGCCAACAAAAGAAAGATTTTTGGTGCAAATGATCTTAGATGAACAATTTTATTTACTTAATTTCCTAAGTCTTCCTAAGTTGTCTTATGTCTATAGGTCATTGGTTGTTCTCTTACTATATATCACACAAATGATCAGAGGCCTCAGGCTTAGTTACCATGTTTAGCCAACAGTCAGATCGGAGAATGCAGATTACAACCCAATTACAATAGAAGGTCATATGAGACCTGCTAGAACAAATAAATACCACTCACTGACCGTATCAAATAATTGTACAGAGGAAATGATCAATTTTAGTATGTCAAACATTAAGCTCATTCGATTTACACAAGGGACGTTCATGAACATAGCTTAGAATGTCCTTTACAGGTTTCATTATAAAGTGGGAATGTTAAAGACATTAAGAGTGAAAACTAATTCCATCTCTTTCCAAGCAGAGAGGTTAGTAAAAAGATATGATGATGTCAGCAGAATATTAGCACAAAAATAATAAATACCATTTAAGACGAACTGATTCATTAAATGGCGGACAGTATCAGGTTTTATATTTTACACCTGGGATATGTTGCATTCAAACAAATGCTGAACTGAGCAGGGAAATTCTATAGGAGGCCTCAGTATATAAAAGCAGAAGATTAGGAATTAATATGCCAATTATTATCTATGTTTTTTAACAAAAATATACACATTTTTAATCATTGGCAATTGATTTGGGTATGATGTAATTTCACAAGCTAAAATACAGACAGGATTACAATTAGGTCATGGTTAGCGCGCCCATGGAATCCAACAGTTATATCTAGATTTGGGTTTCTTAAAGTGACCCTCTTACTATACAATAGTTAATAAGCCAAAGCTGTAAAAGAACAGTGTAATTACTGACTTTACCTGCTACCTGCACTGCTGAATGGTGCTCCAATCTTAAGAAATCTTCTATTGAAAACTGCAGAGAAACCAACACTTTTGGGAGTGTCGATATCCTGGGTTCCCTGCAGCTCTCATTAGTTCCTTTTGCTGATCTTTACATGATAATGGAATCCTGTAATGGGTGGAGGTCAGCAGGAGGAACCAATGAGAACTGCAGGGGACCCGGGAAATCCACATTCCTAAAAGTATCAGTTCTTCTGTGGATTCTGGCTGAAGATTTCTCAGCAGTGGAGCAGTGTTTGGTGGTGTAGGCGGCAGGAAAGGTAAGTATTTACAATTTTTCGGCAGGTATGGCTTGGCTTAGTAACTTTTATATAGTGATAGGTTCACTTTAAAGTGACACTAAACTCTGGAGTTAAATCGTAAAAATACATTAAAGTACCTTAACTATTAACATAAATGTCCCTTTTTTGTGTATCACTCGGCTGTTGATCTTCAAATCATCTCTGAATTGGTGCTGTGTTGTAAAGTAGTCACCACTCCCAGCTCTCTCCTGTGATGGACTACAATCTCTTGCTTAGTTTACTAATTTGTATTGAGATTGTAGTCCATCACGGGAGTGAGCTTGGAGTGGTGGCTACTTTACAGCACACACATGGACCATGGGGAACAAAAGTAGCCCCCCTCCAGAAGGAAGGACAGTGTCAGCACCAATTCAGAGATGATTTGAGGATCTACAGCCGAGTGAAACACAAATAAGGGACATTTATGTTAATAGTTAGGGTACTTGAATTTATTTTTAAGGTTTAACTTCTGAGTTTAGTTTTAACCTCTTTATGATTACGACCACCCAACAAATTTCCCAACATGTCCAATTTTCCCTTTACCAGACTGTCGAAATTATAATTAACACCAGTCCTATTATGATCCAGTATGATGTCCAAGAATGTGAAAAGCTTGGTTATCCTTTATATATGTGTAGCTAGGAACAGATTGCTTGAAGAAAATCAAAGGATTTTCTTTTTTATATAAAATGGCAAGTTAAAAATGCACAAGCTATCTACAGCTAATTAGATTTTTTCTGTTGTTTTTGTGCAATCAAAATGTGAAATCGAGGTCCAGTTTTGGAAATTATATTTCTCTCTTGGGCCTCCTTGGAAATGAAAATAATCGTCCTTTGCTGATTTTTGTTTTTTAATTATTCAGAAAACCAGTCCCAATCAAAATGTGGAATCAAGGTCCAGTTACTGACAGTGGTACTTGCAAGTCACCTGACACATCAAGTTGATGTCACCACTTTGATTTCAGGTTTAATAACACAGAGAGTCCTGTTTCACAGAGATAAGTAGCTGTGAAGGGAATCAAACATGTCCTCAAGACCAAGGTAGAAGAAGAGCTCACACTAAAACTGCTTGAAATCCTGCCCTGCTTTTTCCTTTTCAAAATTAGATTTCTCTCTTGGGTCTTCTTCGATACAAATAAAATCATCCTTTGCTGATTTTTCAAAAATTATTCAGAGACCCATTCCCACACCCACAGCCATTTGGTTCCTATTTCTCATGGATACCCTTGGTTAAAATCCTCTGTTCTAGAATAAAAATTTTCTAAAACAAAAGTGACTGCTGACTTCACAAATACAAAAAAACACGGAGTTCTGTTCCGGAAAAAAACCTGTGGTTTTGCTATGTTTTTGGGGTTTACGATGAAAGTGAAGCCGAGTTGGTATGAAAAATTAGGGATGCACCGATACCGATACTAGTATTGGTGCTGATATTGAGTATTTTGGCGAGTACTTGTACTTGACCAAATGCTCCGATAATTACCTCCAATACCGGAACTTCCAGTATCAGGAAGCCAGGAGGTGAGTTATTGCACATCGCCTGGCTTCCTGATTGACCGGGAAGCCGGCTCCATGCTCCTTCATCACCAGGGAGCACAGAGCTGGCTTCCCGGTCAATCAGGAAGCCGGGGGGGGAGGGTAATGACTCGCCGTCTGGCTTTTTGATTGGTCGGGAAGCTGGCCAATAAGGAAGCTGGGCGGCAAGTCATTACCCACCACCCCGGCTTCCTGATTGGCCAGAAAGCTGGCTTCATGCTCCCTCATCACCAGGGAGCATGGAGCTGGCTTCCCGGCCAATCAGGAAGCCAGGGGGAGGGTAATGACTTGCCGCCCGGCTTCCTGATTGGTCAGAAAGCCAGGTAGCCTCGGCAAGTGAAGCTTTTGCTAGAATACAGGATTCACAGGCAATCAGGAAGCAGAGTCATGATCCGCCGCCCAACATCCTGATAATCGGGGCACAAGGCACCGGTACTCGGTATGGGCGAGCACCGAAAAAAATGTCAGTACTCATACTCGATACCGAAAAAACGATATTAGTGCATCCCTAAAAATATTTTACAATCTAGTGATGGACATTGTGGATCCCTTAGATCCCTTCACCGTACCCTAACTGGATATCATGTCTCCTCACTTTCCAGTCCATGTGCTTAGTACAGGGCCAAGCTGATGGGTAGGCAGACAAGGACTCACAACAGCCAGAGACAAAGCAATAGCAGGAAAGGCGTTTTATGGGAGAGAAACCAACTCCAACCAAAACGTTAGTGTTCAGAAAGTAGGTCAACTTAAAGCGGATGTAAAACCATGACTTAAAATGTACATACATGCAGACAATACATTGCACAATATTAAAACGTTTTGCTGTTGTAAAGAAAACCACTACAAATACTCTTTTTCCTTGAATGTTTAGTGGACAAACGCCCACCTTCTGAGTGCACTCAGCTGAATTAGAACATTCACTAAAGTTACTCAAGGGCCCAAATTATATGATGAGACACTTTCTGACTTTCATATCTGTAGATGTGATGAGCTTTCCAGATGTAGGGATGGAATTATCTTTCTCAGCAGAATAGAGATGAAATAAATCATAACATACCTGGATAATCATTTTTGTCTATGTCTGAATCCCCTCTCAGGGTGAAGCCGAATCCAGCTGGCTGGGTGCCAGAGGCCCAGGACCCCTCCAGCACCTGGGAAGGGTCCTTGTTCAATCCATTTCTGTTCCCGTTGTAAATAAATACTCTCCCCTTTCTATCTTCCCCTCCAAATGGAGAGCCGATCGCAACATCTGCAAAATCAAACACGACGGATATTATATGACTGTCATCATCTGTCCAGGCAGTAATAAGAGACTATGGAAATTAGATGTAAGGAACACCCTGGAATTCAGCAGAATTTAAAGGACTCCACTCAACTCTGTGTGAAGAATAATAGGGCAACCACAATGGCGAAATTATAGTTTCTTCCAAAGCTCTGCTCTTTAGAGCCAAACTATTAAAGCTGCGTTGACCATGCTTTGACCAGCCATTCAGACCCCACAAGTCACAATTAGCTGATATTCTTTTATTTATTGGTTCAATGCGTTTTATTTATCTATATGATTAATGCACTGTTGAGCATGCGATTGGGTATATTTTCACTTCTATATAAAGTAGATATGTTTTGGTAGAAGGTCTAAAGAGTCCTATACCTATATTTAAAGGTCAACTCTGGGCACAAGAAAAAAAATTACCCTTTCAGTGTCCCCACCTTGGTATTACTTAAGTTACTACTTGTTTCGGCAGGCTACCACCATCTTTGTCACTGGTCCAGTGAAGCCACCTTTCTAAGACGCTCCCGGCTGTGGTTGCACACCTGCCTCTTCCACATACATCACATTTTACATGATGATATTGTGGGACCACTCACAGCCCAGAGTATCAGGGAGAAGAGGAGAGTGCCGGATTCTGTCGGAATGGGGGTTAAGATAAGTAATACCACCACTGCAATCTTCATCTCCCCCCTAGACTTAGGAAGAATTTTTTCCCCCATCCCATAGTTGTGCTTTAATATGGAAATATGGAGGGGACTTGAGTAAGAAGAGATCCTGGATGCGTTCCGGCACCAAAACCGTTCCTGGTACCTGGCGGCGGCTGGTTGCAGGTGCGTGCACACGTGACGTTGCCGCGGCCTATTAGTCACCTCAGGTGCTGATCATTGCCAGGGAGGGCCTTGCGAGCACATCTTCTCTCCTAGCCGTCCCATTGGTTCCCTGGGACCTGTAGCTTCCTCGTGCCCAGACAACGGGGGCGTTTCTGGTTCCCGCTGGGTTTAAATCCCAGCCAGAGCCAAGACTTGTTGCTTATTTTGCCATACCCAAAGCAGCTACGAAGCCTCATTTCCTGTTTCCTTCCCAGCTATTTGGATCTCCTAGTTATCGACCCCTGGCCTGTCTCTCCGATTATAATACTCCCTGACTACGCTTTTTGGATCATCCTATCTTGTACCACAGCCTGGACTCTCCTTCTGGTATTGTTCCCTGCTATTGGGTTCCACTCCAGCAAACAGGGGGACTTCACTCCCGCCCTAACAGGAAGCCAATCGCATGAGCAGGATGCAGGAAGTTAGATTTCTGGGAGATATTCTGTTCACAAATTATGTCGATTTTGTAATATATTAGACCGATTTGGCTGGTTGCAGATTGCAATGGAAGGGTTGTTTTTAATTTAACTGCGTTAAAATACAAAATGACTTGTGTAGATAAATGGTGTTTACATCTTATGGAGTTTTCCTTTAACAACTGATTTTCTAATGATGCTCCATTTTTGACTACCATCAAGATAACGGTCCAGCTTCTTATTTCTAACACTGGATGTTCTACAAAGCACACAGCCCTGGGGAGAAACGTCAGCTAGCAAAGCTGTGCAGTAAATGTGGAACTTATTAGGTAACTAGCAGACAATTCAGGAGAGAAATGGGGGTTAAATGAGAGGTTATCCTTGTAGCGGCACTCTCTGTGGAATGATGTGTGGAAAGCTGCACAATCCAGACAGCAGTAAGCGGAAGGTCGCCCTGGGTAACAAGTCTGAGGTCATACACGCAGGAAACAAAGGTTCCTTATTTCAATATGCTAATAATTCCATCTGTGAGATATAAATAGATTACAGAGTGATGTTTGCAATGGTGATAAGACCAAACAGAAGCCTAGTTTATGGATAGATACACAGTATAAGAGTTGGGTAGATCAGGGCACAGCGTGAGAGCTTAGGGGTTTATCAATTTGCTGAATTGACATATGAAGGTATTGCTAGAACAGGGGTTTTATACATTATTGAAGCAAGCTTACCTTGAATCTTGGTTTATCAAGTATCCCCTGAAGTAGCTTACTTAAAATTGTTGAGAATGTGAAATAATGTTAATACTTGCCCACTGTCAAAACTACTCCTGGCACATAACTGCGTACATAAACCTGGATATGAAGTTACTATTGTTAACTGCCTTAGAGCCATGCTTGGAAGATTTCCCCTCACTTCCTTTCCCAGGGCCTCAACAGGAAGAGAGTAGAATTCATTCTTATAATAGGAAAATTCCTTTTTAGAAAGGTGTCAAAGGAACAGGTGTCCGCATTGGAAGATTTCTCCTCGCCTTTAGTTCTGGTGACATTTTGAATTTGCCTTCACTTTTGCTGGTTATCAGGACAAACAGACAGATTGAAGCTTCCCAGCAGTGACACAGACAGCAATAAAACCCTGACACAGGTTATAACTGTTCCCCACTCTATAGAAAATCTAAAGAAAGGCTTTGGCCAAAGATATAAATGTAACCCCCAGGTAAAAATTATAGGTTACCATTTGAGCGTTACCTTTACCTTAGTGAAAAAAGTAATCTTCCCTTAACTCGCTTAGCACAACACTAAATGGACCCCTAAACAATAACTTCTCAATTTTCCACTTAATCATAAAGGTAACTGTTGTAATGAACCCTGTCAGTGTTGTAGTTTGTCCCAACTTCTGGCTCAGTCACTTTTGCCTGACAGCTGGGTCTCTATGCAAAAATATAAATAATGTCATGTGAAATACAAACATTTTTCATATACTGAATACTAGGGATTAGGGATGCACCGATACCGATACTAGTATCGGTATTGGTGCCGATGCCGAGTATTTGGGCGAGTACTTGTGACTCGCTGTCCGGCTTCCTGATTGGTCGGGAAGCTGGCCAATCAGAAAACTGGGTGCCGTGTAATGATGCGGCGCCCGGCTTCCGGATTGGCCAGAAAGCCGTCTCCATGCTTCCTCATCACCTGGTGACGAGAAGCATGGAGACGGCTTCCCTGGTAATCAGGAAGCTATGTGGCGAGTCTTTGCACGCTGCATGGCTATTTAGGAAGCCAGATGGTGCAATTCCCGCCCAAATGCTCCGATGCCTGGCCCGATACTTCAGCTTCCGGTATCAGAAAGCCGGCCAGCGACATGGGACTGTAGGTGACATATGCTTATACTAACTTAATAATCTAAATAAATAACCACAAAAAACACACTAGTTCATCAGATTTGGCATTAATTGGCCGCAGCATTTTATTGGAATAAATAATTAAATCATTCTTTAATAATCAATTAAATCAATTAACCAGTAAAATGTTAAAACCAATCATATTGCCCAGTTATTGAAACTCGAGCAATACATCACTCAAGGGAATAGTCCCCCTCTTAAGAGGTGACAAACCACATAAAATACCGCGACTAGGGGGGGGGGGGAGCTTGAAAATCAGGATTCCAACTGATGATTATTCCTAGGAGCCCCTCCTTATATAGGGTGGCTTTGGAAACTTCCAGAAATCCTCGTGGCGATGTTTTCCCGCCAAAATAACGATTTTTCCCGCCAAAAAAATGACAGTTAAATTCTCTTAAAGGGGCAGTAACTGAAATATATAAAACTTGGAAAAAACACCCAAAAATCACAAATAATAGTCCCCACATTCCCATGAAAATGGGCCTCTAATGGACGCCATTTTTACATTAACCGCTGCCCGGCCTCCCGATTGGCCGGGAAGCCGGCTTCATGCTCCCTCTTTACCTGTGACTCGCTGCCCAGCTTCCTGATTAGTCGGGAAGCTGGCCAATTAGGAAACCGGCTAATAAAATTGACGATCAGGCTGTGTCATACCAAAAACATACTGTATGTATCAATATTAGAATATACTCTTACCGTTATATCCGTCTTGATTTAAATCCCCTAGATTTGCAATAGAACTGCCAAATCTTCCAAACACTTCAGTCCCTTTCAGCACTTGGGCATCTTTAAAAACGAGAGGACTTTTCTGCAAGTAGAGGTAGACTTGGCCCACTTCCTTTGGATTACTCTCAAATTCACGGTCCATGAAGAGCGGCGCCCCCACCAGGACATCATCCAGTCTGCACAGAACACATGCATAATTAGACTGCTCCAAGTGTACAAACTGTAGGTTAAATGGCAGACTTGCGTATTTACCCCTATGTAGCATGATTATTTATAGTAATACTAAAATCTGTCCCTTCTCTTGCTATTTGTGGGTTGTGCATGACCACCATAAGGCCCCCATTCACATTTGAGCTGAGTGTCTTTGGTCGTTTTTGCACGTTTCAGGCTTGAGCCTTCTTTTATTATTTTTAGCCAATGAAATGTTAGTTACAAAGCAAGAAGATGCACTCCTATTTAAGTCTGTTGGGGCCAAAACCCTTGTGTCTGCCCCTAAAGAAACTAATGTACTTTTTTTTTAGCTACAACCATTTTAGTATAAGCGACAGAACACTCAGATGTGAATAGGGACCATAGAAAGCAACGGGAAAGAAAAAAAGAAAGCTCTCTTTACCTATTTTTTGTGACCATTTTTACATTTTGACCATAATACATTTTGGATGTTATTGGGCGGTTAGATGGCTGCTTCATGAAATTATGGATGGTTCAGTGGTTAGCACTTCTGCCTTGCAACACTGGGAACCCCAGTTCAGACCAAGGTTCAGTCAGGAACCAACTGCATGGAGTTTGCCTGATCTTCCTGTGTTGGTTTCCTCTGTGGGTTTAATTGACCCCCGTCTAAAAAGGCCCTAGTATGGGTGTGCATGTGAGATAGGTACCTTAGATTGGAAGCTCCTTGGGACAGGGACTTATGTGAATGAATATTATATAATGGGCATCCCCAAGGGTGGTGTCACCCAGAGCGGCTGACGGGTGACACCCCTCTGGGACATCATCAAGCATGCATGCAACGTCATCATCACGCACGCTTACCTGCCGGCGGCCGGATGGACGACAACAAAGAGAAGTAGGGATGCCGCAGGGTCCCCTCCTTTCTCGTGCAACTGTCTATGACAGAGTGCCTGACTTTTCAGAGCAGGTTACAGCAAAATGACTGTCAGTCATTTTGGTGTCACCCGGTGCAGGCCGCACCTCCGCGTGACGCCACTGCTATGTAAAGCACTATGTAAATTGATGGCGATATATAAATGCCTGTAAAAAATAATAATATTCGTGCTCTGCTATCACAGCATGTTAGCATCTGGCTACACTCTGTGCATGCTGGGAGCCCCAGGACTGCTGCCCCTGACCCGAGAACTGTACGGGACCACCTATCTGACAGTTTTTCTTACCATTGCCCCAAATCTCCCTCTGTGTGTTAGTAAATGGTTTTCAAAATTGGATTTTGGATAAATATGTCATACTATAAGTGTATAAGTATTTCTAAATAAGCCACAGAAATACAATGATTTTCAGAAGAGTTTGTGGATATGCGTAAACTACACAGGACATTAACCTCCCTGACTGCACATGCAGAACGGATGGAATTCAACGCGAGCATCTGTGACAGAGATCATAAAAATCTATCCGTTATGAGGGATCTTGTGTATATGATGTGACAGAAACATATGCATTGTGTAAATGTTTACCCTTCCCAATACACTATAGAATTATGATGAATGGCTGCCCGTAGCCAGCAAATCATCTACTATGCAGCCATAAAAATGATTAATACCTCTGAATGTATACACACACATATGTTTACACATTTCCACAATGGAAGAGAAATGATATGTTCCAAACGATAATAATTTCTGTTCTAAAAATAAGAGTTTCCAAGGTGAAGGGATGAAATCGGAGCTCTCGGTCACATGACCTGCCAACCCGACATCATTGTATGTTCTGCACTGTGTCAGAGTGAATTCCAGTTGTAGTCTGTACTGTTCAGAATAGTAGACAACATTCCCAAAAATTCTGAGGTGAGGCCCCTTTCACATGGCATTACAATCAGGTCAGTCTGTCAGATTTTTAGGCGGACTTGATGGGAAGCTCATTGTTAGTCTATGGGCAGTTGGATGTAAGCGGACGTGCGAGTCCATCTAGAGTTACCTCCGAGTCCATCTACTTTTCAAATGACGAGCTCAATGAGATCTAACAACGAAAAAAACCCCCGCATTTAGGGGCGGGAGGGGGCGCACGCAGTGCGATTGCCCATACCCGGAACGTAGGCACCGCCATCCCCCCTCCCACCCCTGGATGCAGGGAGCCAGCTGGCTTGTGTTCCAGTGCGTTCTAGAGGCCGAACACTCTGGAAAGCAGACTTTGTGGTGTGAACCGGCCCTCTCTCTTGACTGTCTCTTCTCTCTCTCCTCACGCTCTTTCTCCTCGCTCCCTCCCCTGTTTCTATCTGCTGTCTCTCTTCTCTCTCTCTCTCTCTCTGCTGTCTCTCTTCTCTCTCTCTGCTGTGTCTCTTCTCTCTCTCTCTCTCTCTGCTGCCTCTCTCCTGTCTGTCTTTTCTTACCTCCACTGCAGCAGCTTCCTGGGTCTCCGCTTGTGCGCCCGCATCCTGTCCTCCCGCGGTGCTCATGTGGCTAAAGCACCACGGGAGGACAGGACACAGGTCAGTGAGCTGATCGCGATCTACCAGTGTTCACTATGCGATTGACTGGTGGATCGTGGTCAACCTAATGGGCACCCCTAATCTAGGTCCACACAAAAAATTGAGCGGCGTTCAATCTTGGCAAATTTGAACGGGTCTGGTCAGAGGTGGTCGGATGTAAGCGGACACATGTCCAGTTACAGTACCTTCAACTCCCCATAGGTCTAACATAGGTGCGGTTAGTTCATTTTTTTCTCAACTGCAAGATGGAAAGAGGCAAGAACCTTGCTCCTTCATCAGCAATGCAGTACTAAGCGGTTGTCCAGTCTAATTTAGAACATTTCTGCTTGCAACTGTCTGTGTCCTTAGTCTTTTCCTTCTTTAAGCCCTAATGAAGGAGGAAGAAATTGGCCCCCAAAACATGTTGGCTGTATTTGTATTCTGAACATCATCAGACATTTCATTAAAGGCTTTGGACTCCCATCACTTGATTTTGGTGCTCTCATTTGACCTAATTACAAAGGGAGGCTTGAGGCAGTCAGCTTCTGCTGTGTAATCTCTTCAACTAACCCATAATGGTCTGAGAATCCATTGTCATTCATTAATTGTTTTTTTGGTTTTCAATGTAAAGTTTTATAGCTTTATAAGTTCCTTTTACTAAAACCGGCAACCCCTCACCTCATCCAGTCTTTTAGTTTTTTTCTCTGCTGGGGTCCAGAATTAGCTAGACAAAGGAAAAGAAGTAACCCCATTTTGCAAATGTTTTGCCTTTGTGCTGTCCCAGGCTGACAAGCCGCTTATGATAAATACATCCCTGCCTGTTTTTGGCCTTCCTTCGTCTGGACTTTGCCTTTAATTTCTCCTATTGTTTTACATGTTCTCTTTTCCCTGCTCATCTGACTTCTATTTTACTAAGAAACATACAGCAGATTACAATGCATAGCATGAAGTCATAAGCATTAAACTGAGTATTTATTTTGGAGGCAATGTGAAGAGATTTCAGGCAACGTTCCCCTCCCCAAGGGTAATCTTGAAAAGAAAAGCAGTGAAGTGGCAGAATTTAGTGAAAACACAGTTTTTCATGGTGGTAATTACGAATTACCCAAACACTGAGGCATAGTGTTAACATACCCGTCACTGTTTACATCTGACACGGCAACTGTATATCCGAAGTACGAAGCCATCTGGAGAAGGAAACACATTTAAAAGGTTTGAAAAATGCCCGCGCCCACTTTGTATAACTGTGAAAGTATTGGCATACTGACATCAAACATTGCATTAATGGGGAAAGGTTCTGCAGATTGCAAATATCCAATATCTAGTTGATCTCTTTAAACAGAGAGTTAAACAGAGAGTTAAACCTCAACATGTATCATTTACAAAGGTCAAACCCTGAGACTTGACAGTATACAGAATGGAGGTGATCAGGTCAAGCTGATCCTGCAAGTGATGAATGAATCACAGCCAAGAGAGGTCTTGAAGAGAAATGCTTTTTATTGACAAAATGAAGCCACACAGATGCATTTTCCATTGACTTTGTTTTAAACCACCTTCTGATTAAAGCACTATTGTAACTGCTAATGTATTATTGTCATGAAAGAAATACAGGAGCTACCATTGCCGTCCTTCTGAAAATGATAGTTGACTGACTGGTTATGCTGACCCAGTTAATTTAAAGCCCAACTTTACTTTTTAAATATGAAAAGATCAGGCTTTGTTAAAATAAAAAATGCTGCTTTTGCTGCGGTACCTCCACTCCGGTGCTGTCCCCTGCATTACTTACCACATCCCCAGTGCTGTCCTCTGCAGTACTCACCTCCTCTCTGGTGCTGTCCCTTGCAGTACTCACCTCCTCTCTGGTGCTGTCCCTTGCAGTACTCACCTCCTCTCTGGTGCTGTCCGATGCAGTACTCACCTCCTCTTCGGTGCTGTCCCCTGCATCACTTACCACCTCCCTGGTGCTGTCCCCTGCAGTACTCACCTACCCTCCAGTGTGGTCCCCTGCAGCACTCACCTCCTTTTTGGTGCTGTCCCCTGCATCACTTACCACCTCCCTGGTGTTGTCCCTTGCAGTACTCACCTACCCTCCAGTGCTGTCCCCTGCAGCACTCACCTCCTCTTCAGTGCTGTCCCTGCAGTACTCACCTCCTTCCTAGTGCTGTCCCCTGCAGTACTCACCTCCTCTCTGGTGCTGTCCCCTGCAGTACTCACCTCCTTCCTAGTACTATCCCATGCAGTACTCTCCTTCTCTCAGGTGCTGTCCCCTAGAGTACTCCCCTCCGCTCCGGTGCTGTCCCCTAGAGTATTCACCTCCTCTTCAGTGCTGTTCCATGCAGTACTCACCTTCTTTCTGCTGTTGTTCCCTGCAGTACTCACCTCCTCTCTGGTGCTGCCCTCTGCATGACTTACCTCCTTTCTAGTGCTGTCCTCTGCAGTACTCACCTCTTCCCCAATGCTGTCCCCTGCATCATTCACCTCTTCTCCAGTGCTGTCCCCTGCAGAAGCCGGGGGGCTGGAATGACTCGCTGCCCCGTCTTCCTGCTTGGCCAGCTTCCCGACCAATCAGCAAGCCAGGACGCAAGTCATTAGCCTTCCCCCGGCTTCCTGATTGGCAGGGAAGTCATCTCCATGTTTCCTGGTGATGAGGGAGCATGGAGCCGGCTTCCAGGATAAGTATCGGGAGCATTTGGACGAGTACGAGTATAATTATAAAACACATAGAACACCTACGTATAATCATAAACACATAGAACACCTATGTATAATATGTTATAATATTACCTGTTCACCTGTGAAATTGTAAATGTAGATCATCTGGTTAGAGTCAATGATGGAGACCTAGAAATATATATATCAGGTTGTCAATGCTGAGACACATTGGTTGGACAAATGTAACTGTAATAATTAGTTGATGGTGGACAAAGTAACTGCAAAATATCTTGTAATATAGTACGAGAGATGTGAGTCATAAATCAGAGCACTCACTCAGAAATCAGGTTTGGTTAAAAGGTCTGTCTACAAAAAAATGGCATTTCACTTATATGTAGATGTTGGAGAATGAAACCATTCGCTAGTTTCTTCTCTCTCTCTCGTGGATTCCATTAGTGAGATCTCTGCATTGCATTTCTGCTGTGGTCATTATGAGGGATACTCACTCTCCCTGATGGATTTTACATTATTAAGAATGTAACAGGAGAAGCTGAACACATAAAAGTTGGCAGGAACACTCAAAACATCTAGGTGTACACAACAGTTAAGAACTATAGCAGATAAATCTCCTTGTAGGGGTATCCAAGATGTATAAGAAGCCAGGGGCTAAGAAACCTCACCAGGTTCCACTTTTGGGTGACCCTAAGAAGCACAGAAAGATGATCTGTGATTGGTAGATTTAGCTCACTGAACACCTCTTCAATTGTAAGGCAATGCAAAGATAACTAGATCAAGCCAAGTACGATGTCCACAGGGGCTGAAAATTACACACCAAGAAAAATCTCTAATAGAAATACATACGTATCCAAAATTTTGGCTCCCTCTTGGTACTCCAGCCACCAACTCTGTTAGGAAAAATCAAAAAAATGTGTTAGGATCTATTAGAAGGGGCAATAAAAACACAATAGATGGCCTTGCACCTCATATTATACCTAGCCTGGTGCCATTTTTATTTTTAAAGGTATTCACAGGCATCACTGGAAAATGATGGTTATCAAAAGACAATTCTGCACCTTTAAATGCCACAAATACTTCCTGGTCACCTATGTGGGAGGAAAGGACTTTTCAGCCAGTACCCTATTGTTCCTTCATGCTAAAAGCTATGCTGCTGATCACTTGTAAACATATAAAATAGTAAGTGAGTCTGCGTGGTTTTATTTACACTAAAAGGATGAGAAATATTTCTTGTTACTGTTCCTTTTATTGACGTTGGACCGCCATCTATTATGCAGAGATTAAAGATTTAGACATTTTAAATAGCTGCTAAAACTTCCATTCTGTAATTAGAGCGCTTGGCAAAGCAGCCTGGAAGCAGCAACGGTTGCTGAATGGTTTGTATTTGTGAAGACCAGTCTAAACAAATATCACCGGCTGTTGTTGGGCTGTGCTGAATAAGAGAGGCCCCAAAATAAAACCGTTTTGATAATAAAACCAGACACTAATGAATATCTATTACAACTGAGGACCAACCCAACCAAAACATTTACATTGTACTCCTTTTCAACAAATACAGAAGGATTAGATCTCAGGCCAGTTTTTTTATTATAGTGTGTGTGCCCATTGAGAAGGGTTCCACCACTTTCTGTCCCAGAGACACTCTGGGAATTCCATGAAGTACACTCCTCAAATATTACTTTAGGGAAGACAGTGTTACTGTCAACAACCACTACTAAAGTCTTTAAAGGAATATATGAAGAGTGTACATTACGGGGGGAGGAACAGGAAGTTCGGTTCACAGCAATGGGCAGGGTGTCACTAGAACAGGAAGCGAGAGGGAAAGCATAGATTGTAATAAAATACCTGAACCAGACTGTAAACAAATACCTGAACAAGACTGAAATAAAATACCTGGCACTGACTAATAAAATATCTGACATAGACTGTAATAAAATAGCTGAACCATATTGTAATAAAATATAGACTGTGATAAAATGACTGACACAGACTATAATAAAATACCTGATACTGACTGCAATAAAATACCTGACACAGACTATAATAATATACCTGATACTGACTGCAATAAAATACCTGACACAGACTATAATAAAATACCTGATACTGACTGCAATAAAATACCTGACACAGACTATAATAAAAATACCTGATACTGACTGCAATAAAATACCTGACACAGACTGTAATAAAATACCTGACACAGACTGTAATAAAATACCTGACACAGACTAAAGCAAAATACCTTACATAGACTAAAATAAAACACCTTACATAGATTGGAAAGAAACACATGACACAGACTAAAATAAAATACCTGACACCGACTATAATAAAATACTTGACATACATTGTAATAAAATACCTGACACAGACTGTAAAAAAATACTTGAAACCTAAATAAAATACCTGACACACTGCAATAAAAACAGACTGTGATTAAATACCTAATATGGTATCTAAAAATTCACCACCCTATCTAAAAATAAAGTTTTAGGTGGAATTCTTACATGTGAACAAACTTATCAATGTGTTATAATATTCGTATGTATAGTTTAACTTTATACTTTATGTACATGGAGACAGCCATATTTGTTTATTATTATTTATGTAGGTTCTGCTTTTAGTGTCCATGGCACCAGTGCTGGCGGCCTAGTGTTGCAAGGCAGCCCCCATGCTGAGTAAAATTAAAATGGTCAGATTAGATGCAAACAGGCCTTCCTCAAATTGGAAAAGATATTTGCAATATATAAGTAAGAAAAAAATATAGATCCTCAATTATTGCCGTAGAACAGCTGGCATCAAACTGCATCAAGAACCAAATTTAAAAAGACTGATATTTAACATTTACTAATAAAAGGCCGATATGTAACATTTACTGATAGAATTATGAAATTCCATATATCTAATAGCTCCTACTTGTTTCCTTATGTCAGCAGCACCGAGAACTTTATAGCATGGCAAGAGCTAGACCTGTGATCTGACAAGCCCAAAGCCAAGAGCCCATAAGGACGGCTGGTTTAAAGGAAGTTTATATCTAAAACACACTCCATCATTGTGATTCCCCCTTCAGGAACAGCTTGTTATATGGTGGAAGTGGCAGTAGTCAAGCCTTTCATCTAGCTAGGTCGGCTCTAGCGTACAGACAGGTCCTTTTCACAGCTGGTTCCTGTTAGGCTAATTCTTGCCATTCCTATTTTTGTGGCCTCCCAAGATTCAACAGGGAGCAGAGACCCTGAACAAAGAACAGCCAGCTTAGAATGGAGAGCTGAAGGTGGCTACCTGTGCCCACAGGGGAAGACGTAGTACCAGGTTAGCCATATAGGGACCCTCAGCAGCCATAGAGCCCACTATGGATAGGCTAACAGGGGCAAAGGAAAGGCTTTCAGGGATCTTAGGTGGTCAGGGGTGAACAAAGCAATCTCCCATGTATGCAGCGGCAGAATATGATGGACTTAAAGCAGAACTCCAGGCATTTTATTAACCCTTGCTGTGGGGCTACCCCCGCACTGCAAAGTTTAACTGCTCGTTTTTGCCTAGGCTAAAAAAAAAAAAAAGAGTTATACTCACCTAAACCTCCGAGCTGGCTGGCTCATAGACCAGCCCATAGAGTGTATCTCCTGATACTCTGCAGCGGTCTAGAAATCCTCAAGTCCTCGCGTCCAATACAGTGTATAGGATGTGAGGATGCTGAGGAACATACCATCCCTGCAGTGGAGGGGTAGATAGGCTGGAGAGAGTGCTGATGGCTCAGAGGATCAGGTGACTATAACTTGTTTTTCAGTTGGGGTATTGAATTTCCAAATTTTGGAATGATCCTGCTTCAAACTGGAAGTAACAACTTTACCGAATATTCTTTAAATATTTTTCCTATTTTTGGAAGAAAAAAATTGTGACTTTATTACCTTTTTCTATCACTGACCACTGAGGCCTTTTTTTTTTTTAAGATGCACAATAATATTGGTTGTTTTTTTCTATTTCAAATTGCAAAAGCCAATAGCAGGCTGTCTATTGCACCCACCCACTAAGCAGAGGAGCGGAACTGAGAGGCAACTCTCTCTCTCAAGTCCACTCCTCTGCTCAGCCAGTGGGTTTTCAATAGCCAGTCTGCTATTGGCTATTTCAAATTAAATACATCCATCTGTTGCCTGCGGAAGCTATCCGGCAGGAGAACGGGGTCACAGCCTAGGGCACAAAATAGTCTAGCACCGGCCCTGCTGGTGACCATTAAATCCAGGATAGAGCATCAAGGTGTAAATCTTCCATTAGGGATACCTGTTCCCGTGTGCTGCTGACAACT